CCCGCATTACTTCCGCCGCCTTCCGCCGGAAAAGAAAAAATTCGCCGGCCCAACGGGCCAGAGGCGTGCTAAGATCTCCGGTAACTTGTTAACAATATTTCTAGTTCGCGCGCGCGGAGCGGCCCCTGGGGGCCCCCGGACGAAAAGTACCCCGGCAAGGTCCCGAGAGAAGCCCGGGAGAAGCCACCAGACCACTCCAGGGGAGGGTATTTTTCGACACCCCTCACGAGGATCGTGGCCTCCGAGGGGGGAGCCGCAATCGACTACCCCCAAGAGCCCCCCAAGAGGCCCTGGGGGCCTCCAAAACGCCGCCAAGGAGCCCCAAGAGACTCCCAAGAGGTCCCCAAGAGGCCCCCAAGAGGCCCTAAAGAGGGCTCCAGGGCCGGCGGCATGAGCGAAGCGATTAAATAAGATGCCAGCCTCTCGACTCCCTGAGGGCGAGGCCCTTCCCAGAACGCCCCACATTGAGCAACCGCCTGACCTTGGCGGACGGGTGCTTCAGCTTGTCGAGGAACTGCGAGTACGCGCTCCTGGCGCGCAGGTGGCTGACCGGCGCCGCGCGCGCCCCAGAGCGCCCCAAAAGTGAGACTTAACGCCACGGCCACGCTCTGACCAGGTGGTGCCCGCAGACGAACCTCTGAGACAAAGGGGCCCGTGAAAACAGACGCATGTCCACCGTGCACGCAGCGTGCAGCCGCAGCCAGGCATCTGACAAAATCGTGCGAGCGGGAGAGACGAAGCATTGCAATGCGGGCAGCCCTCGCAGACACCGCCACGAGGTGCCGAATGAGCACGCGACGCGCAAACGATGTCTGAAGAAACCTGACAGGAGATGCCTAGAGAATGAAGACTCGTCGAATAGAGAACCCTCGGCGCAATTCACGTTGTCATTGCCGCGTTGATTGTTTCAGGATGCACGAAGGCCTTGTACGCATGGCAGCAACCTCTGCCGATTCCAACTGGCCAACCTGTGGGAGCAAGCGGCGCACCGAGCCACGACTTGTGGATGTATCCCCGTCCCGATATGCCCGTGAGCTGTCAGGGCTGCTATGTCGCCCTCGCACCCAGGACCGCATGATGAACAGACACACTAGACACATACGATAAGAAAGCTTGCTGTACGAAGTCTTGGGGCACGTTCCTCGGCGATAAGTGACGGTCCGAAGCTGCCCAGAGCTCCTGAGAGCCCCCGTGGCCATCGGGACATAACCTCCCGTGGGGCACCTGAAGGCAGGCCGGTTCCTTTTTGGATGCGTCTACTGTGCAGGAAGCCCCTGCCTTGAGGACGCGGGCCCTGGAGTCTGACACCACGCAAACCGATGAAATCATGAACGATCTCCGCCCCTTCAAAGCATTTCCCTGCGGCAGAAATTGTAAGGATTCGGCGCTAGGATGTTGAGACCACCCGGGGCTACTCGGGGGGCCTGGTTGAGGCCAGCTGGGGGCCTGTTGAGGCCAGCTGGGACTAATTACCTGGAGAGGCTGTCTGCGCGCCACCCGAAGCCTGACCAAGCAGAACACCCATTCCTGGCTGAGCCCAGGCACCCTGAACCAAACAAAGCCTTGCCATCTCTTGGCAAACCGAATTTTTGCTTCTGCTGGCTTCCGCCAGCCTTCCGCCGGCCTCCGCCGGCGGCCTCGTTTTACTTCCGCCGCTTTCCGCAGGCCTTCCGCCGAGGAAAAGATAACAGCTCCTTCGATCCCCGAAGGCAAAGCCTTTATTGGAGCGCGTATCGGAGCGCGCCATGGTATATGTATATTGTAATACATATAGACATGCATACATATATGAATATATATATAGATATACACATACATATATATATATATATATATATATATCGAGCCCCCCAGAAGAAAACATGACAACATGACCGACCTGTGCAGAACAAAATACTTCCGCGCCAGGGGCTGCCCGTTGTGCTCCCAAGTCTCGCGGTGTCCGGAATTCTCCGTGCTGCTCCAGGCCATTCCAGGCCACAAGGCCCCGCGAAAATACTTGGGCCCTACCCGGGCCCTTATCCTGGGGACCTCGAGATTTTGGACAAGTTGGGCCTTGAACGCTTTACTGCAACCCCTGACTACGGGATACTTGCGCGCGCACCGTAGCCGGATCGCCGCAGCGGGCGACAACGTGCCAGCGGGGGGACCAGGTTGCGAGGGAGGGTGGGCCATTTGTCCCCGAAACGCTTCTGCGTCGCACGCAGTTTCCTTATTCCACCCGCGACTACACGGCTCACCGACGCAGGATTGAACTTCCTGCCGAGCACAATCTAATGCCCTCGCATTCGGGCGTAGTTCACGCGCAACTATCGGGGTTGTAGGACTGCTTGACATCCCGCTGCGAACCACGTACCCGTAATTAGCCATCGCATGGCACGCGTGCTTGCTCGCGCCCTGCCTTGGGTGGTCGTAGCCTGCGGCACCGCGCCCTGCTCTGCACATGCGTGCGCGAGGGTTCAGTGGAGAGCGCAGGATTGGGCGACGGAAACCACAGAGAATCCGACCGCTGACTCGCCGGCCCATGGCAGAATTCACCGTGCTCTTTTCGCGCAGACTCTTCTCCGCGCCTACACTCCGCTCTGTGACCTGAGGGCCGTGGCCCTGCACAACGCTGCCCCGCCAGTGCCATGTCAGCGGCCTGCCCAGTTGCAGTCCCCCCTCGCTGTCTTGGACCCCAAGACGCCTGCGATGGCCCCACCCCCCCGGCACAGCCTCTCCTTGTCGGGCCGCCGGTGGGCACTGCTTGAGGAACCCGCTGTTGGCCGACTGTCACGCGCTCCCCTCTGATCCTGCCAACATGCCCTCGCGATCCCGCGGCCCCCGTCCCTTCCGGCTGCGGCCGCTCATCCTGCATGGCGACGCCGGACGCGCCCCGCGCCAGCGCACGACAGCAAACAGGAGACCACGAAACGCACGCTTGGAGCCCTGCGCCGGCCGCGCCGGGGAGAGGGCGAGGAACCAAGCCAACCGCGCACCCTGGCCGCGCCCCCCTCCGCGGCGGCACGCACGGGATCTCCTTGCCGCTACTCCTGTCAGCCACATTTGCGCGGCCCTCCCTGCCCAAGGCCGGAGCGGACGAGAAAAAAGCCGACGGTGCAAGTTGCCCGATCAGCGGCCCCAGAAAAAGATTTCGACCCCCTTCCCCGGGGCCAGTCTCTCGCCCTCGTGGCCCGACGACGGGCCCGAGATCAAGGAAAAACGCAGATTTGTTTCGCTTTTTGTTCTCTCTCTCTCTCTCTCTCTCTCTCTCTCTCTCTCTCATATATATATATATATATATATATATGTATATGAGAGAGATCTGAGCCTACTCCGCTGCACCCGATCTCGGGGGTGGCCAGGCGCCGCGGCCGGCGCCCGGCCACGGCGCCCCGCGGCGCCTGCGGCCGCGGCCTTTCCGCGGACGCCGCGGTGCCTGCGCAAAACGTGGGCCCCCTCGGAGGCCTGGGTCCCCCCCCTCTCCCGGCATCGCGCCTGCACCCCGAGCCGCTCCTCGACGGCCAGGGGGCCCACCGAGGGCCCCTGAGAAGCCGAAACGTCGAAAAGCCTCCCACCGTGAGCGGAATAGAGTGGAATGCAACGAGAATGAAGGGTGACCTTAGCGGAATGGAATGGAATGGAACGGGAATGGAATGACCATTCCATTCCATTTCATTCCATTCCATTCCACTCCCGTCGAGAAACCGTTACTCGACGGCCTTGGGGCCGTCGAGTAACGGCTCAGGATGAAAACCAGCCCTGGAGAAGGGGTCGAGATCCCCGGACGCCCGACAACGTGCTTCTGTTCGCAATGTGCCCCCCCCCCCCACAGGTCTGAACCCCTGCCCCAAGACGGCCTTTTCATTCCGAGCCGCTTCTTGACGGCCGTGGGGCCCACCGAGGGCCCCTACGAAGCCGACGCGTCGAACAAACCTCCCGCCGTGAACCCCTCACGGCGCGAGAGGTGGCAGAGCGCCGCCGTCGCCGCCGCCCCAGCGGCTGCGCGCCGCCGCCTCTCCTGGCCGTGGCGGCCGCGCACGCGCGCACGGCGGTCCTCGACGAAGAGGCCCCCGGCGCACCCGCCGCCATGGCCTGGGCGGGCGGGGGAGGCCACGGCCCCCAAACCAGGCCAGTGCTCGCCAAGAGTTCTGAAACTTCCACCCCGAGAGAGAGAGAGAGAGGGAGCGGGCCCGCCGCCAGGGCCTGGGTTGGCGGGGGGGGGATAAGGCCCCCCAAACCAGGCCAGTGGTCGCTAACAGAGTTTGAACGCGCAAGTGTGATGAAAGACATCAAATGTGATTTTTGTATAAAAACCAGTGATGAAACATGTATGTGTTTTCCCAACCACCTGTGGCGTTGGGTCCACATTTTTGAGGAGATGGTCCCCGCGTTCCTCTTTCTTCCTCCTCCATCCTCCCCTCCCCCCCTATCATCATCATCATCATCATCATCATCATCATCATCATCATCATCATCATCAGCATCATCATCATCAACATCATCATCGCCATCACCGTCGTCATCATCATCATCGTCATCATCACCATCATCATCATCAATATCAGCATCATCAACATCATCACGCGCTTTGCTGCCCCATAGGGAGCTCCACAGAAGGTCCCGATGGCGCGGTTGGCATGCGTATCCCCCCACCCAGTACAGCGCTTCGTGGCACCACGGGGAGCGCCACCGAAGGTCCCCGTGGCGCAGTCCGCATGCGTCTCCCCCACCCAGCACAGCGCTTCGTGGCCCCATAAGGGGCTCCGCCGAAAGTCCCATGCGGACTGTGCCATTCATTTCGGCACACCCCTCACACGTTTCGAGGACCCCATAGGAGCTCCGCCGAAGGTCCCAGTGGCACAGCCCGCATGCGTCCCCGCCACTAATTCCGGCCCGCCCTTTACACGCTTCGTGGCCCCATAGGAGCCCCGCCGAAGGTCCCCGTGGCACAGTCCGCATGCGTCCCCGCCACTCATTCTGGCCCACCCCTCACACACGCTTCGTGGCCCCATAGGAGCTCCGCCGAAGGTCCCAATGGCACAGTCCGCATGCGTTCCCGCCGCTCATTTTAGCCCACCCCTCACACGCTTCGTGGCCCCATAGGAGTTCCGCCGAAGGTCCCAGTGGCACAATCTGCATGCGTCCCCGCCATTCATGTCGGCCCACCCCTCACACGTTTCGTGGCCCCATAGGAGCTCCGCCGAAGGTCCCGGTCCCAGAGGCACAAACCGCATGCGTCCCCGCCATCCATTCCGGCCCACCCCTCACACGCTTCGTGGCCCCATAGAAGCTCCGCCGAAGGTCCCCGTGGCACAGTCCGCATGCGTTCCCGTCATTCATTTCGGCACACCCCTCACACGTTTCGTGGCCCCATAGGAGCTCCGCCGTAGGTCCCAGTGGCACAGTCCGCATGCGTCCCCGCCACTCATTTCGGTACACCCCTCACACGTTTTTTCGTGGTCCCACAGGGAATTCCACCGAAGGTCCCCGTGGCGCAGTCCGCACGCGTCTCCCTCACCCAGTACAGCGCTTCGTGGCCCCATATGGAGCCCCACCGAAGGTCCCCGTGGCGCAGTCCGCATGCGTCTCCCTCACGCAGTACAGCGTTTCGTGGCCCCATAAGGAGTTCCGCCGAAGGTCCCCGTGTCGCAATCCGCATGCGGTTCCCCCACCGAGTACAACGTGTCGTGGCCCCACAGGGAGCTCCATCGAAGGTCCCCGTGGCGCAATCCGCACGCGTTCTGCCCAGCGCCTCGCACGCCCGTCGTCGCTCTGCCCAGCGGCGAGAGCCTGGCCCGCTATCAGCCAGCCAGGTAGCAGCTCTCTTTGCTCCGCGCAGCGGACGACCCGCGCGCGTCGCTGGGACCCCTCCGGGGCGACCTGCGCGCGTCGCGGGGACTCCGCGCTGCTGCAACCGCAGCCTTGGACTTTTGAGTGCGCGGGCAAAGAGGAAGTAAAAGAAGGGGAGGAAGCGGGCGCGATCCTCGCGGGGGGGCGCGCCGACATTGGCGTCGCGGCGCGCGGGCGATGCCGTTGGGGCAACCCCTGGGCGGTGGCACGCCCGAGCGTCAAGCGGTACTGGACCACGGTGGGCCACCCCCAGATGGGTTCTCGATGTCAGTGGTCTCTGGTTCCCCTTTCCTCGCCAATGCGTCCTGCCCGCGGGGCCCCCTGCGAGGCGGAGACCCATCACATCACCACCGCCTGGGGAGCATCGCTCTCCGCGGGCCTCGCGCGCGGTGGATATGTATGTACTTCCCCCCCACGCAGGGTCCGCCGCCCACCGAGGCCCCCGAGGATCGGTCCCCCCGGCAGCGGTTGTGGACCCAGACATCCGATGTTCTGATGTTTGTCAATACGCCCTGAGATCCGACGGCGCGAACACATTGAGATACCGTGGAAAATAACAACAAGAACGCTCGATCCCATCTTTCTGCGCCGTTCTACGAGCTGGATCGATATGTGCATGCCCCGGGGCCCGAACCCCGACGAAACCGCCCGGGTCCAAAACATCGAAAAAGTTGAGATGCGAAGATCTCAATGAGGGCAGAAGTCCCGACCTTTCCCCAGGGCCTTTGTTCACCCCGAGGAACTGCTTCACGGCCCCGGGGCCAAGCGAGGTCCCCCAGAGGCGGCACATAGCAACAAGGACTTCCTTCATGCGCTTTGCTCACGCCGCGAAGAGGTTCCCTCCTGCCCGGGAGATCTTCCCGCCCTGACCTCTGGCCGGCTACGCGCAAGAGTGACCCTGGGCAGGGGTGACCTTTGCTGCGCGGCTTTCGGGGGCCCCGGGGAGGCCAACTCCGAGCCCGCCAGCCATGATTGGGAGGACCCTGAAGGGCCGGCACCAAAGGTCACTCCAGCGGAAAGTCACTCTTACGCTTACAGTAGGTCGGGCCTGTCCCCCTACATGCGGAATGTGGGCAAAAAATGAAAATGACAACTTTCTCACGAATAATACGTAAATTTAGCCAAAATGTTTTAAAACATCGTCCCCATACGATTTTGTTTACTATTTTTGAATTTTTCCCTGTAGAGGGACAGGCCCGACTTAATCTAACGCGCACACGATCTGGAGCGTCGTCCAGACGCCGCGAGGCGAGGCTCGAGCCGACGTGCCTCTCCCGGAGCCGCCTGCCAGCCTGCCGCCGCGAGCAGCCAATAAAAAACGGAAAAAACATAGCGGCGGCTTCGCCGCCGGTGTGGCTGGCCAGCCGGCGCTGATCGCGGGCAAGCAAGACTCGGGCTGGGCGAAAGCGGGGGATAGCAAAGGGTAGGGTAGAGAATCAGCTCACGTAGCTGATTTTCCCGGCACCTCCCGGCCCCGGGAGGCGGCCATGTATCAAGGAATGGGCCCGGCGGCGGGGCCGAAACCAGCTGCATGCAGCAGATTTCGTAACCCCCCTTTCCCTATCCCCCCCTTCCGTTCGGCGCGAAGGACGGCGGAAAATGAAGCAAGGGCTGCGCGTTGCACTCCCGTTCGGGTGTTGGCAAGACTGGGTGTAGTGGGACCCGACGAGGGCCGTTTTTCGACGGCCCTCGTCAGGGCTGTCGGAAAACCCGCGAAGAGGCCCAGACATCTCGGGAGCCACGCTGTTAGAAAAGTCACGACGTCGGATGACTGGGGACTTCCGGCGGGCCACTTGATTTGGCGTCCAGCTCTGGGAAATTCGATGGGGTGGCGTCGATCCTCGACAGCTGCGCGTCCGAACGCAGTCGTCGTGCTACTGAAACGAACGCTGAACAATGAACGAAGGTGCTGTCCTGGCCACGGTAAGCCCCAGCCACGAATCGGTAACCCGACCCAGCTCTGAGGAGCGGCCCGGAAAACGCCAGAGCCCCTCCCGAGCCCAAAGTGGTCCTTGCTCCAGCGTCTGGACTGTGGCCCCTCCCCGGGGTGCATCCCAAAGGTCCCCTCTTCTCTTCCCTCCCCCGACCACCTGGGGCTGTCAGATTCGAAAAGAAGAGCACCCGACCGACCCGCCTTGCACACCGGGCATACCACGGCCGCCAGGTCCGACGTGTGCGAGTGCTCCTGGGGATCCCGCCTCGTGTCTTCTAGGAATGACAACTGCATGCCGCGGCCGGAGGCCACGGGGGTGCCGGTGGGGAAACCAAAAGGTACCGACACCGCTACTCCCGGGACCTCTCCTGGGGTGCGTTCTGACCAGGATTTCGAGGCGAATCCAGCGGTGGCGACGAGGGCAACCCAGGAGGCACAAGAAGGGAAAAACGGGCGAAGGGTAGAGGTAATTATGGGTACCGTTTCCTCCTCTGAGCCAGTGTCCGCAGGGATCCCGCCCAGCGCTCTCGGGTGTGGATCGCACAGATAAGATCACTCGGAGCTGCAGGTTCTTCCACGGGCAACTCGGGGACTCGGGGCAGAGCGGGCACCCGGCTCTCGACACCGAAAGTGCCGCCGCTGAAGATCAGTAGCTCCTGCTTATCAGCCTCGCGCGCTCCTCCTTGCTGAGCAGTCCCCCGAGGTGGTCCGCCAGCTCCACCCGCTCGTCGATGACCTCCGCTAGCGTCGCCGCGCCCATGTCGTCGCACCACTCGTTGACCCTTGCAAAATGCTTTCCGAGGCCCATGATCCGCAGCCAACCCCATATGCCCGGCACCGTCTCACGCAAGCGGTTGAGCTTCATCCACTTCTCCTCGTCTTCGAAATCTTCTAGCTCCTTGGAGACGTTCCAGTCGGTCTCCTCGGCGTCGTCCCCCAGGTCGATCTTCCATCCTCTCGTGGCAGCAGGCACCGCGGTCAGTCCCAACCTGCTGGTTCGCGCGAAGTGGGGACGAACAAACATAGGGACTAGGCCTATCAGCGAACGCGGTCCAAAATCGACAGCGGCCGCTGCTGGGCAGGCGACACTCGCTCCAAAAGGACAACGACCGCGGCAGCACAGAAATGGTATTCTGTCTAAAATGGACAGGGTCTGCTGTCAATTCTTCTATTGTTTCCGTCCCAATTTCGCTCTCGAACCTCTTGAAGGACGCCGGAGGGAACAGCTTCCCCTCCTCTGCGAGGCCGGAACTTACACACACATCCATCCACCGCCTGGGGAACCGCTATCCCAGGACCCCGAGGGGCGGCGAATATGGATTTCTGGTCCAATGTCCAGGGCTCTTGAGTTGAGGGCCTTCTACTTAGCGTGTCGCGGCGGCGGCCCCGGCTACATGCGATGCCCTGCAAGCGGATGGCCTGTTGCTCCGCTTCACGACGGGGCATGAGGCTCGGAAAACATCGGGACGTTGACGCCGAGGGACCGGGACGTGGTTAGCATGCCGCGCTGAAGCGTGGTGGGCCAAAACTGGCGGCGCGACACGCTAAGCCAAAGTTCCGGACCGTACGTGGGCCTGGCCCAGAGCCTGAGGGAACGGCTTGCAGCACAGGGGGTCTTCTCGGCTTCCCGGAGAAGGGCTGGAGGTGGTCGTCGCAGTCGTTGTCGTCCGTCTTCGCGACGATTTGTTTACAAGCGAAGGTGTTGATATGTTGGTTCGTTCGGTCGTCGTCACCATTGTGAAGAATGGGGCTGAAGAGAAAGAGGAGGACGAAGAGGACCAAGCGAGGATGAGGATGAAGGGTAGGAGAAGGCTGAAGAGAAGGTGAAGGACAGGAGAAGGAGAAGCAGGCAAGGAAGCGGATCAATGTGAGAATTATGCTGACAGACGGAAAAAACGGAGGATGAGGAGGAGAGGCCGACACAGAGGATGAGGACACAGGCAGAAGTACAGCCGGCGAGGATAATGAAGGTGAGGATGAGCATGAAGAAAAGGAGAAGGAGGAGGAGCAGCAGAAGGCGAGGACAAGGACGACGAACCTCCCCCCAAAAAAACACATCCACAAAGGGGGGGCGTCGCTAAATCGAGCACCTCGCCACCATCCGCACTGCCCTCGCGCGAATCGAACCCCAGGGCACCCACTGGCACTGGCACCCACGAGCCCAGCATAAGGGGAAGGGGTGGGGGCGACACCATAGTTACTCGTGGCAGAGGGAGGGGCCCTGGACCGTGGATCACACCGTATCCGCATGCGCCAACCGCCTCCCGACCCAGAGATCCGATGTACAGTAGGAGCTCGACCAAAAGAAACGTTCCACAAGAAACCCAATCCTGGGAGTCCAGGACGTCGATTGACTTTGGTGTGAGAACGTCACGCTTTATATCTGAAGAAACCCATGGCACCCTGGAGGCAAGCAGGGTGTGTCGTGGCATGGGTTTCCACTGTGTTTCTGCTGCTTAATACGGAGCCGCTGGAAGTCCGACTTTTTCACCAGGCCCGGTGTCTCATCCCGAGCTGATTTCTGAAGGCATCGGGGCACGGCGAGGTCCCCCAGAGACAGAAAACGGCGACACGTCCACGCTGTTTCGAACCACCATGTGGTGTTGGGTCCTCGCTTTGAAGCCACAGCGCCCCGAGTCCTCCTCCTCCTCCTCCCTACTCCCCGCCCCGCCCCTGCCCTCCGCATGCACATGTCGGCACACCCCCCACATAGGAAGCTACACCGAAGCCCCCATTGGATGATGCCACATCGACTCCACCCGATAAATTCGGCACACCCCTTACAATTTGAGTGGCCCCATCAGGGTTCCACCGAGGCCGCCAGGGGGGCGCGGCTACTCTGCGTTCCCCACCCAATTTCCGCACACACATCATACGTTTTGTGGCACCATAGGGAGCTCCACCGAAGCCCCCAGGGGCCACAGAGCGTCACCCGGTCCATTTTCGGAACACCTCTTACACGCTTTCGTAGTCCCAGAGGAGCTGCATCTGAGGTCCCAGGGGGTCACACGCTTCGTGGTCTTAGTGGGAGACCCACCGAAGGCCCAAGTGGCAGCGCCCGCATGCGGTCTCTGGTCCATTTTCGGCACGCCCCTTACACGTTTCGGTGCCCCAAAGGGAGGTCCACCTAAGGCCCCAGTGGCTGCGGCCATATGGGGCCGCTGGCATATGTTCGGCACACCCGTCACACGCTTCGTGGTCCATGGGAGGCTCCACCTGAGGCCCTAGTGGGTGAGTCCACGTGTTGCCTCCCGCCCCATTCGGCACACACCCCACGCGCCTCATGACCCCATACGAAGCCCCAGTGGCCCCACAGGGAATTCCTCCTCCTTCGCTCCGCATGCCGTGGTGCTGTTCGCGCCTCGTGTTCGGGCCAGAGCTCGGGCCTCGGGCGGCCGCTCGGGACGATCTGGGCACCCCGGGGACACTCTCGGCGAGGCGGAGCTGCTGGCAGTCGTCCTGTGGCGAGAGAAACCTCCAACGGCCAAAGACTACAAACCCAGACGCCTGATTTTTCCACCTCTGGAGGTCTGGAGACCTCCTCGAAACCAGTGTTTCGTCCTGGGTTGCTGGTGGACGGCCCTGGGGCCTGGTGGCCCCCGGAGGCCGAAATCTACCGAAAACCTCCCGTCGTGATCTGCTCAAGACTCGACGGGGGTCTGAGGCATGGAGGTCTGAGGATCGGTCCCCCGGGCGGCAGATCTGCACAAGTCCCGGTCTCGAGGGTCCTCCGTCTGCCTGGCGCGGCCGCGCAGCAGCTGATCCGCCCCCTGCTTCCTGGCCTCGGCAGGCCCAGTCGGCACCGGATCAGGAAACTAGATCGGATCGGACTCCTCCTCCTCCTCCTCCTCCTCCTCCTCCTCCTCCTCCTCCTCCTCCTCCTCCTCCTCCTCCTCCTCCCGCGTCGGATTGAACCAAATCGGCACGGAGTCGACAACAAATCGGACCAGCCGCGCAAGAATGCACATCGGTGCCCATGGATGCATCGGCCGCATCGGATCGCCGGGGCATCGGAAACGAAGCGGATCGGCCAGGCCGGGATCGACACCGAATCAGATCGATCGGGTCGACATGGACAAAGGCCGTCGGGCCGTTCGGGATGATTCGGGCTTCCCACGGAACGCTCTCGGCGAGGCACAGCTGCTGGCAGGCATCCCAGGGCGAACAACCTCCAACAACCAACGAACACTGAGACCGAAACGTACATCATCGCGGGCAAGAAAGAGCGCCAGGTGCCGGGAACCATGGACCCGTATTTCTGCTGCCTTTTGTTCGGCCACGGCGATCCATGATGGCCCCGGGGCCCGAGATCCAAAAAGCGCGGTGGGACAACCTCAGGGGAACCTCCCGAGACCCAGAGCTAATCACTGGCGACACCAGAAGATAAGTACCGACACCGCCACTCCCCAGACCTCTCGGGGGGTGCATTCTGACCAGGATGTCGAAACGATTGCAGCAATGGCCGCGAGGGCCTCCCGGGAGGCCCCAAGAATGCAGAGACGGGGCAGGGGCACCGGCACCAGGCATCGGCACCTCTCCCCCCCTGAAGCACAACGCCGGACTGGTCAGCACCGGATCGGGCAATCGGACATCGGGCGCTCCGCCTCGGAGGCCACCACCCGCAGCAACGCCACCTCGACGTCAGGCCCTTCCGCGAGGCAGTCCTCGCCCAGGCAGAGGTCCAGCCTCGCGCTCCTGCTGCCCGGCTCCAGCGCCCAGACGGCGAGCCCGGCGCCTCGGCGCCGCGCGCAAATAGGGGGCCACATGCGACCCCGACCCCTACCCCCCACGATTTCTGAGGGGGTGGGTGGGGTTCACTTCGCTCGGGAGCTCCCGAACGAATTGAACCCCACCCTCCCCTTCAGAAATCGTGGGGTGAAGGGTAGGGTTCGCATGTGGCCCACTAGCAAAATCAGCGCCGGGGGGGGGAACGAGAGGGTTAAAGCCTTCTCTGAAGGCGGCGGGGTGTCTCGGAAGGCCTCCAGTCTGCTGAGAAGCCTTTCTGTATTCGGGCAAGGCTCAGAGAACACCCACCAAAAGGCCGAAGGCCGTCCGAGCCTTCTGGGAAAGCCCGCCCACTCTGGCTTCCCACATGGGCTCGCCGCCGACAAGAGAGCGAGGACGGCTGGACGCAGCTCGAATTCGAGCATGGTGGTTGAGCTGGTGTGCAAGAACCTTCTGGTACCTCTAAATACTATGAGCCAGAGGTTCCGGAACATGGTAGTTGGCAAAGTGAAGATCCTGCGCGAACCATCCACAAAACTGGCCAGCCAACGTGTGGATTACGGGCTGGTGGTTAGGCTACTTCTCAAATGCCCCGCCCCAGAAATCTGGAGAGCCGAAACGCGCAATCTCAAACACGGGGAACAACTGTTGCACTTTCAAGTATGGGAGGCCGTGGGATCGTCATCTGAGGAACACCGAACCCACAAATGCAGTTTGGGAGCCTCCTGGGCGGTGCTTGAGCGCCGGAAACACGAAACGACGAGCATGCAAAAAACAATGGAAAAAACACAAATGGAAGCGTCGCCGGAGACCCCTGGACGGCGTTTTGGGGGTGTCTCGAAACCGTCTGGGGCCGCCAGGATTGCTCTCTGATGGCTCCACGGGGCGATTGCAGGCCTCCCAGAAGCGGGCCTGGGCCCCGGTCCCCACATTTGTGGTCGAAATTCTGGCCCTCGGCCCCCGAACCCGGTGCGCCGTTATATGTTTATGCGTTCCAGAATCGACGTTAGCTCCCTTGCTGTTCTCCACGCGCTCCTGTATGCGAACAGCGTGCGCACGCCAGCGAAGCGAGTTCCTCCTCCTCTATCAGAACCCTGCAGGATCCCTACGAACCGTAGAAAAGGACCCCTATGCGAGTCGTATGGAAATGGATTCCTTAATCCGGATTTCCGATGAGCATTTCTGGATAAGGATTCTGAGAAAGGTCCCTTACTGAGGATTCCGACGTCAGGATTCCCTAATCAGGATCCCTCCTTGATAAGGATTCCGACTAAGGATTCCTTAGTCAGGATTCCCTCAAATGAACTCCTGCCTAATTCCTGAGGAAGAATTCCTTCGTAATGAGGATTCCCTTTTGTAGGGATTCTGTACTAAGGATTTCTTACCAAGGATTCCTTAATGAGGAGTCAATCGAACAGCTTTTATGTATATATATATATATATATATATAAAGCCATCCAAACGGATTCCTTAGTCAGGATTCCTCAGGCATAGATAGAGATTCCTTAATTCAGATTCCTTAATGGGGATTCCCTGGTAAGGATTCAATACCAAGGATTCCCTGGGAAGAATTTCCTTTGTAAGAACTCCATGTCAGGATTGCTTAGTAAGGACTCCTTAGTAATGATTCCTTCGTAAGAATTCCATAATAAGGATTCCTTGCGAAAAGTTGCTTGGTAAGGATTCCTTACGGCTGACTCTGTATTACGGATTCCTTAATCCGGATTATTCACAGGGGTTACAGAATGTCTTACGAATGATTTCTCAATAAGGATTCCGCCGTCAGAATTCCTTGGTACCGTCCTTAAGACGGACTCCTTAGTAAGGATTCTTCAAATCAAGAGAGTTCCTTAATAAAGATACCTTAATACGGACTCCTTGATAAGGATTCCTTACTGAGGATTCTGTACTGAGGACTCCTTAATACGAATTCCATAGTGAGGATTCCTCACTAATGATGTTTACTACGGGTTCCTTATCAAGACTCTCTTGTAAGGACTCTGTACTAAGAGCTCCATTGTAATAGCTCCTGGCAAAAGATTCCTTACACAGAATTCCTGAATTAAGATTCCAGAATAAAGATTTCACAATAAAGAATCTTGCAGAAGGATTGCAAAGCAAGAACTCCTGAATAAGGACTCCTCAAAAACATGTCATGGTGAAGACGCAGTACTAACTATTGTTTAACACATGTTCCTTGATGAATTCCTGATACAAGATTCCGTTGACATGGTTCCTGGGTGCATATCTCTTATATGCAGAGTTTTGTCTTCAGGTTCCGAAGCAAGATTCGCACATATTCCTAGATACATGAGCCTTAATACGAATCCTTTTATTTTCCATACAAATTCCTTCATCCAGATTCATTAATCAAAATCCCTTTAAAAAGGTATTACGTGTTATGAATCGTCTTTTCTAGAGATGCCTTAACACATATTCCTTATCAAGGGTACCTGACTAAGGAATCCTTTTTTTTTTCAACATAACTTAATCCAAATTCCTTATCACAGATACCTGAACAACGATTCCTTAATCAATATGCCTTCTCTAAAGATTCCCCTTGGGCCCCTTGCGGGGCCACGAAGCGTGTGACGGGTGTGCCGAAATTTGCCCGACACCTTCGGTGAAGCTCACTGGGGCCACGAAGCGTGTGAGGGGTGCGCCGACATTTGCCAAAAACTGTGGGTGAAACCCACTGGAGCCACGACGCGTGTGAGAGGTATGCCGAAATTGGCCCGAAACCTTCGGTGAAACCCACTGGGGCCACGAAGCGTATGAAGGGCGTGCCGAACAGGACTCGAGGCCTTCGCTGGAGCCCCCTGTAGGGCCACCAAGCGTGTGAGGGGCGTGCCGAATTGGACCCGAGGCGTTCGGTAGAGCCCCCTGTGGAACCACGACTCGTGTGAGAAGTGTGCCGAAATTGAACCAAAACCTTCGGTGAAGCCAACTGGGGCCACGAAGCGTGCAAAAGGTGTGCCGACATGGGCCCGAATCCTTCGGTGGAGCCCATTGGGGCCACGAAGCGTGTGACGGGTGTGCCGAAATTAACCCGAAGCCTTCGGTGGAGCCCCTTGTGGGGCCACGAATCGTGTGAGAGGTGTGCCGAACTGGACCCAAGGTGTTCGGTGGAGCCCCCTGTGGACTTAGCCCGAAACAATCGGTGGAGCTCATTGGGGCGACGAAACTTGAAAGGGGTGTACCGACATTGGCCCGAAGCCTTCGGTGGAGCCCCCTGTAGGGCCACGAAACGTGTGAGGGGTGTGCCGAATTTGACCCGAACCCTTCGGTGAAGCCAACTGGGGCCACGAAACGTGTGAGGGTTGCGCCGGACTGGACCCGAGGCCTTCGGTGGAGCCCCGTGTGGACTTGACCTGAAACCTTCGTTGGAGCTTACTTGGGCCGCGAAATGTGTAAGCGTTGTGCCGAAGTGGGCCCGCAGCCTTCGGTGGAGCCCCCCTGTGGGGCCACGAAGCGTGTGCGGGGCGTTCCGAAATTCACACGAATCCTTCGGTGAAGCACTGGGGCCATGAAACTTGTGAGGGGTGTGCCGAACTGGATCCAAGGCCTTCGGTTGAGCCTCCTTGTGGGGCCACGAAGCGTGTGAGGGGTGTGCCGAAATTTGCCCGAAACCTTCGGTGAAGCCCACTGGGGCCACGAAACCTGTGAGCGGTGTGCCGACATTTGCCAAAAACTTTGGGTGAAACCCACTGGAGCCACGAAGCGTGTGAGAGGTGTGCCGAAATTGGCCCAAAACCTTCGGTGAAACCCACTGGGGCCACGAAACGTATGAGGGGCTTACCAAGTCGACAAGAATTTCACGGTCCTTCACGGTTCCACGGTCGTGCAAAAGTATTTGGACGTCTATTTGCATTTCTCTTTCAACGGACTCACCGTGGACCTCGTGCACGAGAACGAACGGTTTGCATTCACAGGGGACCCCATCGAGCTGTCCAAAAAGTCTCTCCAACCATTCGCCGGTAAAACCCTGTACTCCAGAAACACCGTGCTGAACTTATTGGACGTTTGCGGAGATGGCAGATTTTAAAAATCACCAAAGCAAAAATTCCTCACGGTCGTCGTAACAGACATGCTGTATTATCTAAGATTGGGGTATTGCTATTCACATGTTAAGAGGTTATGGGAATCTGTACACTTGGACACGACTGAAAATATTATTGTACGTCAGTCGTTCTCCCTGTTGAGGCTATCTTGTGGTTTCTCTACATACTCTAACCCATCATTGTCATTATCATCGTTTCACAACATGTGCACATCTACTCTCGAGCTTTTTGAGGAAGGAGTGCCTGGTACACATACGCTCACCCACCAAGTCGGGAGTGCTCGACGCATGCACTATCAGTGGACTGGCAGAGGAAAGGGCAACGGCAAGGGCAAGCCGAGCGTGCATGCGCCTCGCTACCAATATCCGCATTCCTCGGGCGGAGCCGGTGGCATTGCAGGCCTGACACGCACGTTCTCGCCGTGCATGGAGCAGGTGAAGGCCTTAGGGCAGATGGCAGCCATTTGGGCGGCCCTGAACAACAGTACCGCATCGGGCCAGCCCATCGCCGCGCAACCACAGCCGCAGGAACCTCCATCGAGCAGCCCTGGCGGGGAGCTCGCCAGTGCCCTGGTGGCCGTATTGCAGCAAGGCCAGAAACGGACAGCTATTCCAGACAGCAGGGTGACGCACTCGGTCAACAAGCTCTCGGAGGTGACCGGGCAAGGGGAAGCAGTGAAGTCGTTCGAGACACAACTTGAGAACAGCAATGCGTTCAAGCGTGTCCGGGCTGACCTGACAGCCATGGGCTCCGAGGTGGCATCGCAGAAGGGAGAGATCCACGCCATCAAGAGCACCGTGGACAGCAACGCCCGGGAAATCGGCGACATGAGGTCCATGCTTGCCTAATGCTTGGGGCGCCAGCAACAGACGCCAGATGAGGAGGACTCGCCGTTTTTCCGCGCCACCGTCAATGTTGAGACACACGACCGTTTCATACGCTGCTTCGG